GGAAGTAGTAGGGATGTTGATACTCATGATATAACAGAAGATAGTTCTGATAGCGATTATGAGGATGATAACAATGATTACAATAGTTTAATTAAGAAAAAAGAAATCGAAGAAAAAGAACGCTCAGAAAAAACCATCTTTATTGGTAATTTACCTGTGAGCGTCATTGAAAAGGTAATAAGAGGTTCCCCAGTTATGCAGTTCTGAATTTTTATATAATTACTAAATTTGATAAATTCAATCATGATTCTTGAATAACAAAAAAGCACGATTATCGGGTCTTGAAAAAGAAATTTTCAGAATTTGGCAAAATTCAAAGTATTCGATTCCGTTCTATAGTGAGTATTATCCAATCAGTCTTTAATCTACTTTTCTTATTAACCAAATAAATAACTTTATTTCCTAATCGAAAAAGGCATTTTCAGAACTATTGCCACGAAAAATAGCATTCAAACTAGGAAAACTACATCCAGAGCGAGACATTTTAAATGCTTATATCGTCTACCAAGAAAAAGAATCGGCAATAAAGGCGTTAACTATGAATGCACAATTATTTCTTGGTAAACATCTACGCGTAGATTCTGTGGCAAATCCAAAAGTAATAAATCAATTAATTTATTTTAATAAATTATTAATCCAATCATTTAATTAACAAACTCTATGCATAAACAAAGACATATGACCGAAAAAGAACAATCTTTATTGGCGCATTAGCATTCGACGCGCAAGAAGAACAATTATGGCATCATTTCAAAGATTGTGGTGAGATTGAAAGCGTGAGAATTGTTCGTGATAAGAAAACTAATGTTGGAAAAGGGTTTGCGTATGTCCAATTTAAGGTTAGTGTTTTTTGAATGTAATAAAACATGAAATTCCGAAGATTTATTATTATTATTATTAATTATTCTGTCTGCTAAAATTTACGATTTTCTTAGGAACGTGCATCAGCCGGCCTATCACTAAAACTTCACCTCTCGAAAATCGGTACTCGTACAATTCGTGTCACGAGGTATTCTTGCAACGGCCCTAATAATAATAATAATAATAATATCACAAAAAATAAACAACAGCTTTTAAAAAGAAAACATGCAACGAAGGGAGGAAAAGGAGACGAAAGAGGTGATGGCGGTAATGTAAATTCGCATAAAAACCCCGGAATAATCAATACCCGAAAAAGAATCGATAAAGCTAAAACTAAAAGGCCTCCAAGAATTCGTGAGAGAACTATAACCTGGAAAAAAGCCGCGATGAAAAAGAATACTATCAGTACCACCGCAAAAGGAAAGAATAAAATGAAATAACGAATGTTTGTTTCTTATTAGAGTTTGTTTCTCCTCTTCAATCAATAACTTTTATTAGCCGAGAGATGCCAAAAATCTATCTAAATAAACACACGCGTAATTGAATTTTTCAATGCTAATTCTAATTTGATTTTAATTATTGAACCTCGTAATTAATTTAATATAGAATTATAATTATGGAAACTTTATTATATAAACATTTAGTAATATGGTATATGGTGAATATGTAAAAGCCAAAATATTGTTCAAAAAGAAGTACTCTGATAAAGCTCTGCCCTCCTTTTCTTACTGGCTAATTCCATTCGATATCTAAACTAATTTATTCGCTCCGCTCTAAATCTAGTATAATTACACACGACAAAAAATCTAATAATGCGAATAACAGTAAAAAAAATATAATGATATACTATATACTGTAAAAGAAGCTAATGATTCCTCGCAATTCCATTTTTACAATAACAGTTATGATGTCTTGTCAACATCCTTTCCAGCCTCCAAAGCCTCAGCCTTCTTCTGAAGATCATTCAGCGCGTCAAATATCACATCAGAAATTTTAATCCGAGTTGCCGCTTATTCAGCTTTTCCCTCGTGAAATTCAGTGAGAACGTCTTTGAGATCGATTGGTTCGCCAAAAGCGATCACCACTTTTTGCCAGAGAATAGGAACAAATGGGTTGTCTCGTTCTTCTGGCATTACCGTTTCTAGACCTGTAATTTTGTTTTTTGATTAGATAAATGAATACAGGTAAAAGTACAAAATTTATTTATTTATTTATTCACCTTTATGCCATAAAGGCACAACAATCGGCGGATTTTTTGATTCCATCATTAGACGTCCGACGCCCCATCTTAGCGGAATCATTGAAGATGTTTGATTAATTTTTCCTTCGGGAAATATATGAACCTGTAAAATATTTATTGATCTGTCAACTATAAATATATATAAAAATATATATATACATAAAAGCAAAATTCAAAGGAAATAATTACCCAATTTCCTTCCTTTTCATTAAGTTTATCAAGTGCAAAATTCATCGCTGGTTGATAAATTCCTGCACCGCGAACGGTAGGCACAACTTGACCAAGAGCAAAAAAATGCGATAGAAAACTAATACATTCATTTAATATTCGAATTTCCAAAAAGATTGAATTCTATTATTAGTATTCGTTATATGTAATTATTCAAGCATAGATTTAATTCACTTACTTGTTGGTAAAGCATATTTCTTGAGCACCAAGTGTCCAACGTATAGTTCTCGTTGATTTTGTTATACAAAATGGAAGACTACCCCATAATAGCGGATCATCTACACTAAATTAAATTTTTTGCGAATTAATATTCTATTTTTACAAGTAAAAAAAAAAAGAAATCAAAAGGAAAAACTTACGTCGACAAATGATTAGCAACTTGTTAAGATGAAAAAATACAGAAGATAATTAGACGAAAATTTTCATTATTTCATTGATTCTTTTCAACTCAACTATTCATTAATTAATAATATGCACCTGTAAGGATAGGACGTGTTCTATTAGGATCCATTAACACCCTAACAAAGGGTTCCTTATTATAGATGGTAGTCGATTTGGTACAAAATCTCAGAAAGAATTTTGCGATTAACGAACACGACATTATGCAAAAACGACTAGTGAAATTCCATAGGAGACCTCCGAATCTTGGTTCTAGCGTCATTTTTCCCGTAGTGTCGACTTTATATGGTGACGGAACAATAACGGATTTAAGTAAAGGGTTATAGAAGTTACTATAATTACTATTATTAATTTCATAGGGTGCTGGTGTTTTTGGAGGATGTGGTTGTTTTGAGGAAGTTGTCTCGTCATCTTTTGATACGCGCGGAATCATGAATAACCTAAGTAAGTATATAGACAGTGGTATTAAAGCGCATATAAATAACACTAACATTTTTTATATATATACAGTATTTTTTTGGTCGGTTTTTTACGAATGTGAAGCTATTTATTTAAAGCAAAAAAAAGTTGGACGTGTTGATGTACTTAATACACTTTGGGTAATGTATTGCATGATTTGCAATTTTTTAGTTAGAGTTAAAAAAGGCTAACTAAATACATAAAATAAATAACCCATTTTTTCTGAATAAACGAAAATCTTATTTCTTTAATAAGAAATGAGATGGGGACTTTTTATATTGATAATCTTCAAAATATATTTGATATGTACATCATGAATAATATTTTTTTGTAGCATCGAAGAAATAATAATAATAATAATAGTACATATCTAAACAAATGAATTATGAAATAGATGAGAAAGAAAATTACTACTTCTTCCATTCTCAATGATACAAATACATGAAATTATTATTATTATTATTATTATTATTATTGTGTTGTTACTGTGATGATGGTGATGATGATGATGTTGTTATTTTTTATCCTCTTTTAAAATTAACTCCCATTCTACATCATTTTCATTGCTATTTTGTTTTTCCGCCTTTTCCGCCTTTTCCTCCTTTTCCTCCTTT